ACATCAGTTATGGTGTTGTTACGTCTTTTTGCATTGCAGGTGACGATATATTCGTTTCAATCACTTCAAATAGGGCTCTTTGGGGAATTTATTTTAAGGAAAAATTTTAAAACAGTAATTTTGTTTACTTGTCGGGCAATATTTTTTTCATAGATAAATATGTACATTGGATCCTTGCCTAAAGGCCTCTGTGGTAAAACTTTCCCCCTACGTCTCCCTTCTTTGCTATTTAAAGTGAAAGATTAAGCTCCTACAATAGGGATTTCCACAAGAAATTTTCAACATTTAGTTATAAAGATATTCGATGCTGAAATATTTAAAAAGCTATAGGTCTGACCTTTAATTAGGTAAGAATTGCGTAACTATCTGAAACCCTCATCATTTGTGATTCCTATAATTCAAATGCTTATAAAAAACGGGGTGCTTTTTTAAAAAAATAACAATATTCTGATCCGATTCGGTTTGCAGTCAGGATCTTAAAAACATAATTTTGTTCAAAATTTTCATTCCTGGAAAATAATAATTTATAACGGTTTGAAAACATACAACGAACTGTCGGCAAATATAAGAAGCTGCAACAGCTTACAACAATTCAAAAGTCGATTATACCACCACTGCAAAATATATGTATAGAATGAAATAATGAAAAATTTTATTTTAAAGGATTGCTGCTTGACCCAGTGGAGAACAGTGGAGGGTCGACATGGAAAATAGTCCTTTCCATCCGGCCTACAGCGCGTAAAGAACAGTGAAGAGGGTCGGCATGGAAACTAGTCCTTTCCATTCGCCCTACAGTGCGAAGATCTCGTCTTTTCAGACCACTTGTATAACCGGAATTTATAAAGATAGATTGGCTCGGAAACTAGTATTTTCCCACTGATCACAAATTACTTTATAGCCTTTACATATGACCACAAAGCCTGAAGTGTAGGTGCGACTTGGAATAAAGTCCACAGCAACGGTACAAGAAGTGCGGCTCTGGAACTCGTCCTTTCGGACCACCCACCTAACCAGTACCCAACATTCGGGCAGCTCGGAATCCCGTCCATTCCGACAGCCACGGTCACACTTATAATTAAGATAATTTTATATAATATAATTAATATAATTACCTTGTTTAAATGTATAATTATTTGTACAGAATAAAAGTTAGGATAGTCCTCTCAAAAAAATGTGTAAAGAACAGAATATGTAGTGAAATAAGAAAATTGTTTTCATGTATGATTGTGGTTCCTGTGATGTAATGTATGCATATATCAATATAAAACTATAAACCCAAAATAGTACTAAATAAAATAGTGAGCAAATATTGTAAATTTTCAGACTTGTTATCATGATAAAAACACGTGTGTCAAGTTAGCACTACACTTTTCGAATTTGGAAAAGCTAACTACGGCATTAATTGTAGTGTTTTTGTTGTAAATTTGTTGTGGAAAAAAAAAATTTGTAGCTCTCGTTTTTTAAGAAAAAATGGTATGTAGTGCTAACTTGACACCATACACCTAGTCGATAGAATTGAGATATTGAAAATGTTATAACGGCATTAATTGTAGCTTTTTTGTTGTAAATTTGTTGTGGAAAGAAAAAATTTGTAGCTCTCATCTTTTAAGAAAAAATGGTATGTAGTGCTAACTTGACACCATACACCTAGTCGATAGAATTGAGATATCCAATATGTTACTATGCCATTAATTGTAGCTTTTAACTTTAAAATTTGTTGTGGTAAGAAAAAATTTGTAGCTTTCGTTTTTCTGGAAAAAATTGAGTTGACCCTTTTTCGAACAAAATTTAGTATGTAGTGCTAACTTGACACCATGCACCATTGACGACAGAATTGAGATATTGAAAAGGTTACAACGGCATTAATTGTAGCTTTTTTTGTTGTAAATTTGTTGTGGAAAGAAAAAATTTTTAGCTTTCGTTTTTTAAGAAAAAATGGTATGTAGTGCTAACTTGACACCATACACCTAGTCGATAGAATTGAGATATTGAAAATGTTATAACGGCATTAATTGTAGCTTTTAACTTTAAAATTTGTTGTGAAAAGAAAAAATTTGTAGCTTTCGTTTATCTGGAAAAAATTGAGTTGACCCTTTTTCGAACAAAATTTAGTATGTAGTGCTAACTTGACACCATGCACCATTGACGACAGAATTAAGATATTGAAAATGTTAGAACGGCATTAATTGTAGCTTTTTTGTTGTAAATTTGTTGTGGAAAGAAAAAATTTGTAGCTCTCGTTTTTTAAGAAAAAATTGTATGTAGTGCTAACTTGACACCATACACCCAGTCGATAGAATTGAGATATTCAAAATGTTATAACGGCATTAATTGTAGCTTTTTTGTTGTGGAAAGAAAAAATTTGTAGCTCTCGCTTTTTAAGAAAAAATGGTATGTAGTGCTAACTTGACACCATACACCTAGTCGATAGAATTGAGATATTGAAAACGTTATAACGGCATTAATTGTAGCTTTTTTTGTTGTAAATTTGTTGTGGAAAGAAAAAATTGGTAGCTTTCGTTTTTCACACAACACACAATGGTGCACGGTGTCAAGTTAGCACTACATACTAAGTTTTGTTCGAAAAAGGGGCAACTCAATTTTTTCCAGAAAAACGAAAGCTACAAATTTTTTCTTTCCACAACAAATTTTAAAGTTAAAAGCTACAAGTAATGGCACAGTAACATATTGGATATCTCAATTCTATCGACTAGGTGTATGGTGTCAAGTTAGCACTACATACCATTTTTTCTTAAAAATCGAGAGCTACAAATTTTTTCTTTCCACAACAAATTTTAAAGTTAAAAGCTACAATTAATGCCGTTATAACATTTTCAATATCTCAATTTTATCGACTAGGTGTATGGTGTCAAGTTAGCACTACATACCATTTTTTCTAAAAAAACGAAAGCTACAAATTTTTTCTTTCCACAACAAATTTACAACAAAAAAGCTACAATCAATGCCGTTCTAACATTTTCAATATCTCAATTCTGTCGTCAATGGTGCATGGTGTCAAGTTAGCACTACATACCATTTTTTCTTAAAAAACGAGAGCTACAAATTTTTTCTTTCCACAACAAATTTACAACAAAAACACTACAATTAATGCCGTAATTAGCTTTTCCAAATTCGAAAAGTGTAGTGCTAACTTGACACACGTGATAAAAACATAACAAGGTAAAACCAATGAGAGGCAGTCTGACGTATGCCAACAATATAATTTTAAAATCAAAACTCAAACTCACACACATTCTCATTTTCAATCTCAAACAACAATAATTGTGAACAATTTAATTTTTTTATTTTCAATTTTATATGATTTTAAAATGTTGGCAAACGTCAGAACAAAATCATGGCCGACGAATTGAGAGAATGAATTTACCTTGTAATGTTTTTATCATGCTTGTTATAGGCCTTTAAAGGCTTTCAATAAATTAATAAATTAATAAAAATAAATAAATGAATTTTTAAATTTTTAAGTTCAAGCACTAAATAAAATAAACATTATTAAAAATTCGCATCCGCTGATGTCTTAAATTTCACATTCGCAACATCCCTACTTTAAACGACGATATGTAGATGCCAAATGAATTGAAATATCGCGACCGAGTGTGTGCATTAATCGTTGCATCAAGATAGTAACGAAACCACTATGATTGGAAGGCCAATGTGCAGAAAGCCTTATTTTCGACAAAATGCATTAATACTTCGAACGCTACAGCACTTGAAAAACCTGCAGTGGTTTGGCTGTGTTTTACAGAGAGAAGCTAATGATACTATTTTAACAATCTCAGCCGTATTTAGGAAAATTGCAACCATAGATATAAATGAAAGAATTCACTTAAAATTGTTGGGCTAGAAATCATGGAACAAATGCACAATACCTAAAAATGTCGAATTAAAAAAAAAAAATAGGATCGATAGAGACCATTGAGGTGAACATAACGGTATATTTATTTTTTTTGGGAAACAACAACTACAACAATTATTAAAGGTCAAAGTTCAAATTAAGCATTTTCTTAAATTAATATTTCTCGAAAACATCTTCAAGGAATTGAACAATTTTGATGATAGAGAATTTAATTCTCTTTAATTTGATATACATATTTATACATATACCTTTTTATAGTCTTCACAAAAATCGAATTAATGTGGAAAAAAAAGTATACAGGGTTTTGTGTATAAACTTCTTTTGCGTAGGCGGCCTTCGGCCGCCCTTATGGATTATAACCCTCACAAAGTAGAATTCTCTTTCTGTGTTGCGAAGAAAAGGCGCTGAACACCTTTTGCAGAGAACACCTTTCTGCGTAGGCGGCCTTCGGCCGCACTTATGGATTATAACCCTCACAAAGTAGAATTATTTTCTGTGTTGCGAAGAAAAGGCATTGAACACCTTTTGCAGAGAACACCTTTCTGCGTAGGCGGCCTTCGGCCGCACTTATGGATTATAACCCTCACAAAGTAGAATTCTCTTTCTGTGTTGCGAAGAAAAGGCGCTGAACACCTTTTGTAGAGAACACCTTTCTGCGTAGGCGGCCTTCGGCCGCGCTTATGGATTATAACCCTCACAAAGTAGAATTCCACATTAATTATATTTTTGTGAATACTATAAAAGATATATGTATAAATTTGTATATCAAATTAAAGAGAATTAAATTCTCTATCAAATGACATCAAATTTCCCAAATCCTTGGAGGGGTTCTCGAGAAATATTAATTAAAAAACATGCTTAATTTGAACTTTGACTTTTAATAATTGTTGTAGTTGTTGTTTCCCAAAAAAAATATATATATCGTTACGTTCACCTCGATGATCTCCATCGATCCCAATATGATTTTTTTAAATTTGAGAATTGTAGGTATTCTACATTTATGCCGAAATCATTTTTCGAAACGATGACGTTGACCACCATCATGCAATCGAAATTGTGTCCTGTTTTATAGAAAATACATGCATACACATAAATATTAAGCGCAATTTATTCCAAAAGTACTTACCTTGAGTAATCTCTTTTTAATTGGAATTAATAGTGGCTTATAAGAGGACGAGGCGGGTGTGGACGGGCGTAAATATTTATATCTGTCAGTCAAAACGGATGATGCCTTCGTAACATATGAATATAGATTTGTTTGATCGTTCTCTATTAACAAAATTTCTATTCTCTTAACAGGTTTCGAACAAGCATGTTTATAACAGGGAAATGTTCAACAAAAATTAAAAACTTCGTTTATAGGCACACTTAAGCAAGATGTTGAAGTACTCTTGCTGTTTGTAAATAATACAAAGCTGTAATAAATCACTTGCAAAAAGACTAACAGTTCGCATCAAATAGAACTAAAAAAATAAATGCATACATTCCAGAATACATTTTCGGACTCTACATCACCACCACATCGTAGAAACACATTATTGGTTTCTAACTTTCCTCTATCAGGGACATGTTTATTTAATTTATTTTCTTTCACTGACGAAGTTCTCATATATTGTTACAAATAATTTTATAGTTAGTTCTTTGGAATCCACAACTTTCTTTACATTGCTCAGCCTTCGAGTTATTTTCATTTTCCTTCCATTTTCCGTTGGTGTTTTGATGTTAGTTTCTGCTTAATTGGACGTTTTAATTGCTATGATACTTTGGACTAACTACTTTTATGTTGATGGAATATCTTAAAAAATTTGAGGAATATTCCTTTTTAACAAAATTTTGTGATATGCACCAACGCGATTTCCCCCAATTCTCAGCTCCACTTCCATCTACTATTCTCCTTCACTCTTAGAATGTGAGGTTAAGAAAAATTCATCGAGTTCATTCCGATACAGCGTTGCAACTGACAGTGGTGTGGCCAGAAGAACTTACTCTTTACATTTGTAATTCAATGTCTCATTAGCACAATATAACCAGCAAACCATGACGAAAGACACAAGATCACGTAACAACAAGAGAGTGAAAAAAGTCGATTTTTTGGTTGGAGTTGGTTTTTTTTTTAGCGGGTTCTACGCCATCTTGTTTCACTGGAAAACGAGCGAAAAGTAACCAAAGCAAAGAACACAACGAAAACCAAAATTAGCCAAAATTATTGTCAGCCACTTTAAGCGCACAATTTAAGTAAAATGATGCAATAAAATGCTTGAAAATGTGTTGTCATGTTGAATTGACTCTTCTTTACTTAAATACAAGTGTAAAATAGTAGTGCTTGTGATGTAAACAAACGCTCAGCTAACGAACCCGCTTTCGCAAACTTTTTTCTCAAAACCAGTTACAAATACAACGTCGCGTTCTTACGTGATCTTGTATTTTTGGTTCATGCAGTAAACAACCTTCGGTGAATTTGGCGACGCCGTCCCGAATGAAAGAAGAAAGTTATTTTCTAGCTGTTGAAATCTCGACGCCATCTTTGTAGTAAAAGGGAAACAACGAAGAGAACAAAAAAAAACCGCGTAATTGTTGAACGCATGTATAATCATTTTTATTATCCAAATTCTTCTATAAATCATGTCGTTGTGTTAAATTATTCTTTACCTTATGTGTGCACACGTTGTCACAAGCGAAAATTAAGAAAATTGCAGTAAAAAGCCACCACAAATTGTAAACAACGAACAAATGTAAACAAATGGCCAACGTCAAAGTCGCCCAACTTTTTTCCTAAATGCGATTATAACGGGCTACTATGAAGAAGACGTGATCTTGTATTTTTGGTTAATGACTGCCTTCCTCGGGGATAAATATGCTAGGGATGAAATTATTGGTACACACCATGAACCAAAAATAAAAGATCACGTAAGAACGCGACGTTGTATTTGTAACTGGTTTTGAGAAAAAAGTTTGCGAAAGCGGGTTCGTCAGCTGAGCGTTTGTTTACATCACAAGCACCACTATTTTACACTTTTATTCAAGTAAAGAAGAGTTAATTCAACATGACAACACATTTTAAAGCATTTTGTTGCATCATTTTACCTAAATTGTGCGTTTAAAGTGGCTGACAATAATTTTGGCTAATTTTGGTTTTCGTTGTTTTCTTTGCTTTGTTTACTTTTCGCTCGTTTTCCAGTGAAACAAGATGGCGTAGAACCCGCTAAAAAAAATCGACTTTTTTCACTATCTTGTTCTTACGTGATCTTGTGTCTTTCGTTTATGGGTACACACGCCTTCCAAGCACGCAGGGTTGCTTTTAAGAAACGAAAAATAATTAACTCCAAATAGTTTCAAAAAGTATAGTGTAAAACGAAATTTATTGAATAATTCCATATAAAATGTTATACATAAATGACGCATTTTCTAAACGATTTAAATTAAACGCATTTGCGAATTGATGGAAAAGTACTACGGATTGTAAATTTTTGTTAACTATGGGCCTGTGCCAAATGATAGAAAAGAGAAAATTTTGACGGATCAAAGTAAAAATCTGACATTTCTCGTGGTGAATAAGAACGTCAGAATTTTACCTAGCTCATGGGGCTAGGTAAAATTTTGACAGCTTATAACCATGTATACACATAATATTCCTTGGCGGTAATAAGGAGTGAACATGAAAATGAAAGCTGAAACTGCATAAAAAAAGCGTACGTTACTTGCAAAATAAATTTTAAGAATTTCCGCAACACACAAAAATAAAGCTTTCGCACGAGCGTTTGTTTGGTTTTTCAACTGTCAAAATTTAACTCTGCATTTGGCACAGCAAATTTTTCCACCCCGTCTCACCACGGAGAAAAAAGTTACCGATTGGCACAGGCCCTATGAGGTGAATGAAAATTTTCAACAAGGCCTGATGGTTTGATTTTATTACTAAGGCCTCTAATAAATTCATGGCTTTTAGTTCTAGAAGTCTTTTTTGTATAATTTCTGATTTTAATTGCTCAACTTCTTTTGAACCAGAGCAACTGTCAAAAATTTCCAACAGTAAAAAGTTACGAATTGGCACAGCGGAAATGTAAAATTTTCTCGCCATAATAAAAAGTTTTTTCAACATGGAACTTTTCTACTAATTGACATGAAATTACTATCTCAACGCTCGGAGCGCTGCCTCTGAGGGCCTTCCCTCCTGGCCTGGTATTCCCTTTTACGCTGTGGCATTTTGACACTTCTCAGATTTTAGTCCAAAAAGATAAGGAATGAACCTTATATAAAGAGTTAAATACACCTCACACGCGGCTTGCCAAACATTGTTGTTGTTGTTGTAGCGGCTACAACAACCCCGCTCAGGACGGTTGGTATCTCAGTCGTTGTCAAGTTCCACTAACGGCAGCCCTAGGAAGCGTGCAGCTTCTGTGGGGTTGGTCCACAGGGTCAAGGCCGTTAGGGTGGTCGGGTTTTCCGGGAATGCGAAGAGATGTTTCGAGTCATGTGGGGTCTCTCCGCATGCAGGACACTCATTTGGCACATTCTCATTCAATCTACTCAGGTAGGAGTTTAACCTGCTGCTGTAGCCGGAGCGAAGTTGTGCTAGTGTCGTTCGAGTCTCCCGAGGCAGATGAAGCTCCGTCTCGTCAGTGTCCGGGGGTGGTATGCCTAGAACGGCATTCACAGGTCTAGAGTCTACATAACTCGAGACTGACTCCCTGTGAATGCCGTTCAGGGCCAGTCGGTAAGCTGTCGGGTCCAGAGGTTGCTTGATGAACCTCTGGACTTCGTCCGTCAGTTCATATAGATGCCTCCTGGCGTGCCTAGGCGAGGGCTCCTCTACAAGCAGCTGTCTGTTTGGGTGGCCACTTCTGTGGCTCCCGATCAGGAACTGCTTGCAGAGCATTATGTTGTGCTCCTACGGGGAGCATTTGCGCCTCGACGTGAAGATGGTGTTCGGGCGACATCAGGAGGCATCCTGTCGCTGTCCTGAGTGCGGTGTTCTGTGCAGTCTGTAGCTTCGCCCACTGCGTCCTACTAGTACCCGGCGACCACACTGGCGCTGCGTAGTTCAGAACCGGCCGGCCTATTGCCTTGTATGTTGCCAGCAACGTTTCTTTGTCTTTGTCTCAAGTACTGCCGGCTAGCGACTTGAGGACCTTGTTGCGGCTCTGTACTTTATTGACAATAGCGGTTGCGTGCGCAGACAGGGAGATCAGGCTGTCGAATGTTACGGAGTATTTTGGGGTTATTCACCGTCGGAATTGGTGTGTCATCGACGTGAATTCCCAGCGGTAGCTTGACCTCCTTCGTCCAGGTTGTGAACAGGGTCGCAGAGGATTTCGTAGGGGAGAGGGTTAGACACTTTGCAGTGAATAAGCGAGAAAGTTCGGAGAGATACCCGTTTACTTTCGAACACAGGTCATCAATTCCATTCCCAGTCGCCATGATCGAGCAATCGTCGGCATAAGAGACAATCGAGACTCCCTCTGGTGGTTGAGGGAGCTTTGAAATGTAAAAGTTAAACAGTAGCGGGGAAAGGACACCACCCTGTGGAACCCCCTGTTTTATTTTCCTCAGTTTACTCGTTTTGTCTCTAAACATTACCGACGAATGTCGACCAAACAGATAATTTGCCGACCACCGTTTGAGCCTCTGTGGGAGAGAGGAGGCCTCTATATCTTCTAGTAGCGTGGAATGGCAGACGGTGTCAAACGCCTTTGACAAGTCCAACGCTACTAGAATCGTTCTCTCACAGGGACGGTTTCGGTTAAGGCCACGAGTTATCTGAGTGTTTATGGCGTTAAGTGCTGTTGTTGTACTGTGCACTTTACGGAAACCATGCTGATGCTTCGCTGGGGTCAAGTGGTTTGTGAAGTACGGGAGTAGCAAGGCCACGAGTGTCTTCGCTACCGGGGAAAGGAGTGTTATCGGACGATACGAATCTCCTTTGTTGGCAGGTTTCCCGGTTTGAGCAGTGGGACCACTCTCCCCACCTTCCAGATGTCTGGGATGATGAGAGTGGCCATAGACAAGTTGAGGACCTCCGTTAGGTACGCTACCCCCGCAGGACCCAAATTTTTCAGCATCAGCACGCATATTCCGTCGGGACCCATGGCTTTGGAGGCTTTCGCCTTTCCGATGGCCACCTGAACTTCACCGCAAGTGAAAGCAAGGGGGGCACAGGTTGTTGGCAGTTTGTGCAGCCTTCTGGTCACTCGATGCTTGGCTTTGTCCACCGGAGGATGCAGTATGAACTGCCGGCTAAAATAGCTCGCGCATCGCTCCGGGTCCGACGAAGCATGGTCGCCGAAGAAAATTTCGACTGTGTCGTCTTGCTTCGTCGGATTGGACAGCGACCTCACAGTTGACCAAAGCTTGCTCACACCAGAGGTGAAGTTACAGGTCTTCAGATGCTCCTCCCACTTCTTCCGCTTATGTACGTTTACTAGTTGCCGAATCTCCGCGTTGAGATCCCTGATACGGGGATCTCCGGGATCGGCCTGACGAAGGCTGTTACGCTCATCAT